CCTCTCTGTGTGTGTGTGTGTGTGTGTGTGTATGTGTGTGTGTGTGTGTGTTAGTTGGGGGCAGTAGAAGGGAGGTTCATGTGGGGCAGGCCTGCCTGGAATAGGAACAGGTTGGGCTGGAGGGTCAGGACCAGGCATGTTGGCAGCCCTGGTCAAGGCTGGCTGGGTGGACGTGGAGTGTGAGCGGCGCCCTCTGCCGAGGTCTATCCTGAGCCCTGGAGGTGACTCTCATTTCCCCTGGGTGGAGGTCTGTGCAGACACAGGGCTGGGCCTCACCCGGGAGCAGAAGGTCCAGGGGGCACTCCTTCCCCGGTCAGGCCAGGTGCCGGCAGCTGGTCTGTGCGGCCCCGTGCAGGGGGGCTGTCGGCCTTACCTCTGGGAACAGGGTCTGGGACAGTGGCTGGGCAGGGTGGAACGGCGTGAGAGAACAGGCCTGCGGATTGGATCCCAGCTCGGCCCCTTCTGTGCACGTGACCTTGGACGGGTTAATGACGTGGGGCGTTGGCTTCCTCATCTGTGTAAGGGGGTGATATAAGCGCCCCCCAAGCCCCTGGCGGCTCAGAGATGAGATGAGCCCGTGTACCAAGCCCCTGGCGAGCACGCGCGCTCAGCACACACGGGGTATTGCCATGAGGTGACGGTATGAGTTATTGATCTTCTGAACTGGCTCAGTGGGTGGGAAGATAGACTCAGGGCAGTTACAGGAGAGGCCCTGCCTGGGCTCGGGGCAGCCCGCCCTCACTCGGGCCCACGTCTGCCTCTTATCAGCCGGTGGCCTTGGGTGACTTCACGTCTCTCTGCCTCGGCTTCCTCGTCTGAAAACAGGGATAATAGGAGCATTTCCGATGCTCTTGTTGCTGCATTTAAAGTTTCAGCAGAGCCCGGCATGTCGGAACGCCTCGACGAGTGGTGTCTGTGTGGTTAAGGGGGCAGCCGGGGAGGGAGGGGGTGGACTCTAACCCCAGCTGTGCTGGCCTCCCTGGTAGACATGAGCACACCTTTCCCTTTCCTGGGCCTCAGTTTCCCCATTTTAAACAAGGGCTGGGCTTCCTCAAAAGCCCTTTCAGCAATGACAACGTGCGGGCCCCTGACTCTGACGGGATACGCATGTGTGGGGCAGAGGGACCAGCAGGCGCAAAGGCCGAGAGGCTGGACTGGGCGGTGTGGTGGTGAGCGGACCCGCACACCCTGCGTGGGGCAGGGTGGGTGCTCACGGCGCTCCCTCCCCTCTTCCTCCCTCCAGGGCTCCCTTCCCCAGCCCCCGCCTGTGGATGTGATGGCGGCTCCTGCTCTGTCCTGGTGTCTGTCCCTCCTCGCCTTCCTCCTGCCCTCGGCCATCCCTTGGGCATCCACCGCGGTGAATGGTGAGGATCCTGGCATCCGGACAGCGGTGCTCTCCTTTCGGAAGGAGGCCAAGGCCCTTCTAGACGGCCGGCCCTACTTCTTTGCAGAAGGGCCGCCATCAAGGGCAAGAGGAGGGAGAAGGAAGGCAGGAGCCATGGGGCCACCTTCCCCCTTCCCCCTCTGTCCTGCCCCCACTGCGCCCACATGCCTCTCCACACCACAGCAAGACACTGGCATCTCATCCCTGCCCTGCCTCACCTGGCAGCCTCCGGGGCTCAGTTTTGTCCTCTCTGAAATGGGCCACTAACCCCTTCTCTGCCCTCCAGCATTGTTTAGCTTCTCATCTGGTAGCCTGAGGGCCCGGAGCAGGGATGGTGGGTGGACCCTGAGGGCAGGGCAGTGGGGCCCCCTGCAGCCAGCACTCACACCTCCTCTCGCTGGCAGACACTTTCACGCTCACCTGCTTCTACAACTCGAAGGCCAACATCTCCTGTGTCTGGAGCCGGGATGGGGGCCTGCAGGCCACATCCTGCCACGTCCACGCCCAGCCTGACAGACGGTGAGTGGGGTCGCTGGCCAACCCGCAGACTCCCAGGACGGTAGGATCTTACAATCACTGACGCTCACACTCCGGAACCCTCACTGTCAGACTCCCAAATATCTGCGCCTTGAGAATCTTGGACGAATGGGCCCCACAGACTCTTGCTACCACAGGAGTCTGGTATTTAGACTCCCGGAACCTGGGTGGGAGTGGGTGTGGGGGGTCCAGGCTGGTGATGAGCTGGACCGGGTAGACTCGGGCTTCTATCCTGAGGCTGGACTTGACTTTGGAGGAGAGGGGGAAGGAAAGGGGGCTCCCCAAGCTTCGGGAGGAACCGGGGGTTTGGGGAGAGCCCTATGGCAGCTGTGGGGACGGGACTTGGGAGTGGTGGGGAGCTTGGGGCGGGGGCTGTGAAGGGATTGCAGGGTGCACACCGCCTGCTGACAGCAGCAGAGGCTCCTGTGGGTGGGGTACGTGAGGCTGCCAAGGCCCCGCCAGGCCCCAGGGGAAGACTGCTGGGCTTCGGTGCGGAGGCCAGCTGTCCCGGACAGGCTAGTCTAGATCATGCTGGCTCCTGGGGCCCGGCCGCAGCATTGCTCATGGGGGGAGGGAGAGCAGATGCAGGAATTGGCACCCTGTGAGGTTGGCATAGGGCACCTGCGCAGACCAGCCTGGCTGCATGGGGGCCACCCCACGGGCCGGCGCCGGGGCCCCAGCCTATCTTCTAAGCAGCTCCTTTGCCTTGAAAGGCCCTGGAACAAATCCTGTGAGCTGCTCCCAGCGGGCCCGGCATCCTGGTCCTGCAACCTGATCCTGGGATCCCCGGATGTGAGTATCTTTCTCTGAGGGGAGAGGACCAGGGGGAGGGTGGGTGCCAAGGGGTGTCCTTCCAGAGACGAGCTGAGGCCCTGCAAGCCCAGTGGCCAGCAAGCGTTGGTGGAGCGGGCTGCGCGGGACTGGACGGTGGAAGGAAGGAGGGAGGGCAGCGTCCGAAGGCCAGAACGCAGGCCGGACCGGGGGTGACCGGGCCCGGGGGCATGAGCTCACCGGCTGCCTCTGCTCCGGCTGTCTTCCCCGTGGTGGCGGGTCCTCTGCACTCCCGCACTCCTCCGCAAGTGGGGGCAGCACCTCAGAAATGGTGATACACACACCTGGCTCTTCCCGACATCTCCCCCAGTGCAGGGGGGTGTGGGGTCAGGAGTGTAGGTTCCGGAGCCGGACGGTCTGGGCTCCGGCCCTGGCTCCGCTGTACACCAGCTGGGGGACGTTGGGTGGCTGCCACGCCCCAGTTTCCCCTTCCGTGAAACGGGAATGATAATGGGAATGATCATGGGAATGACAGGGCTGAGCTGAGCGTAAAGCACTTGGAACGCCACCCAGAGTAAAACGCGCTCTTGACACGATCGTCCGTGGATCCTGAGCGAGTGGCAGAGATGGGTCTGCACCCAGGCCTGTCAGACCCCAGCCCGGACCTCTCACCGTGGCACTAGGCTGCCTCTGGAAGGACATGGCTGTGCCCATGTGGGCGCGCATCAAATAATTGCCTGGCAAAGCCTCCTTGGCAGTGGTGGGCATCAGGGACACCCAGACCACATTTCCCAACCACTGCCAAGGCACATGTACTCCCAGGGGCAGGAGAGGGCGGAGATGGGCTTGCAGTGTAGCGGATAAAGGCACGGCTCTGGACCCAGGCTGCTGGGCCTGTCTCCACAAGCTCTGCCGGTGGCATGGCCTTGGGTCCTGGTCCCCGCAGCTGTGTGACTTTCCTAACTGTGTGGCCTCAGGCAAGTCCCTAGGCCTCTCTGTGCTTCAGTCTCCTCAACTGCAGGACAAGGATAGTAATAGTGCCTGTCTCCTGGATGCTGAGAAAATCAAATGAGACAACACACGCAAATGCTTAGGAGAGTGCCTGCCACAGACTGAGTACTCAGAATGCATGATTGGCATCTCCAGAACAACAACAATAACCTATATATATAAAAGCCTAATATGCTAAGTGTCTGGCCCATCGGTCGACCTTTTATTCGGTTGACCGCTCGACCAGTTGCTATGATGTGCACTGATCACCAGGGGGCAGATGCTCTGACCGGTAGGTTAGCTTGCTGCTGGTGTCCGCCGACTGGGGAGTGGGCGAGATGGGCTGGACACACCCTGGAGCCCTCCCGCAGTCCCTCCACCTGCAGGCCAACCTCCCGCAGTCTCTCTCCTGCCCGGCTAGCCCTGGTCGGCCCCGATTGCCCCGATTGGGACTGGGTGAGAAGGGCCAGACATGCCCTGGAGCCAACCTCCCATGGTCCCTCCCCGGCCTCTAAAATATTTCTTCTAATTAATTTCCTTTCAATGTGCACAAATTCATGCACCAGGCCTCTAGTAGTAATCCTATATAATAAAAGTCCAGCGACCCAATGGCGGAACAGCCAGAATGACCGGTCACTATGACTCCCACTGACCACCAGGGTGCAGATGCTCAACACAGGAGCTGCCCGCTGGTGGTCAGTGTGCTACCACAGTGGGAGCACTGCTCAGCTGACAGGGATGAGCGGCTGCTCTCGCAGCAGGAGCAGCCGCTCAGAGGGCGATCCCTGTAGGCCACCCCCCCATGCATGAATCCTGTGCATCGGGCTTCTAGTATAATGATAATACTAATGTTATCTGGGACAATCTGGCCCCCATAGAAGCTGGAGGAAGGCTAGGGCAGAGGGAGGAGTTCCAGCTCTGGGAACTCTGATGATCAGGTTCAAGGTTCGCTCATAGTGGCCCTGAGCAGGTCAGAGGGACTGTGCCTGGGTCCTGGGCATAAACCCAGCCCCCTGGGTCCCAGAGCGCAGACCCTAAGGGTGCCTTCAGCCGGCTCCCTTCTGCAGGGCTGTGGGGCTGCCTCCGCACAGGGAGGGAGGAGGCCGCCGTCTGCTGCTCACTCGGCAGCCCTCAGTCAGGCACGGCGGGCCAGGGCTCGGTCTCTGTGTGGCTGTGGACACAGAGCCTGGGTCTGAGTCTGGGTTCCCTGGAGGACCAGACCAGACCAGACCAGACCAGACGTGTGACCTTGGGAAGTGCCTTAACCTACCTGAGCCTCAGTTTCTCACCTGCAGGAGAGGGTGGATGCTTGAGAATGGGCCAGAGAAGTGGCTAAAGCACCTGAGCAGCACCTGCCCATCCGTGCTTAATGCCTGGCCATTTCCTTCCAGAAAAGTCAGGGCGGGGGTGGGAGGAGCCGGGGGAGGGGAGGCTTCCTGGGGACCCATCCTGCTTGCCCACCTCTGGTGACCCAAACTCCCTCCCTCCCAATGCAGCTCCTTCACTTTAGAGCAGGGGTTGACACACCACTGTGGCCCCTGGGCCACAACCGGCCCGCTGTCTGTTTTTGTAAATAAAGTTTTATTGGCACATAGCCACACCCATTCTCTTACATGTTGAGTAGTTATAACAGAGACCATACGACCTGCCAAGCCCAAAGTACTCACTACCTGACCCTTGACAGAGAAGGTTTGCCGACCTTGACCGTAGACAGTGCGGGTGTGGGTTAAGGCTCCACCTGCATTGCCATCTTGGTCTCCCCTCCTGCCCCCCTCCCATGCCCTCATCCCGATGGCCTCCCCCAACGCCAGCTGCCCCAGCAACACCTCTGCCCCCTTGCCTTGCAGTCCCAGAAACTGACCTCAGCAGACGTCGTCAGCATGAGGGTGATGTGCCTGGAGGGGGAGCGGTGGAGGAGGGTGATGACCCAGGACTTCAAGCCCTTTGACAACCGTGAGTGAGGGGTCCGGGGGGTGGTGGGAGTGTGCCCCTCCTTCCCTGTCTTCTCTCTGGGATCTCACTGTTCCAGTCTCTCTATTAACTTCCACACCCACATCCGACAAGTTCACTGCCCACTGCCCCAGGATCAAGTCCCGGCTCCTCATCCCGGCACTCAAGGCCACTTGGGAATCTGCCTGGCTTCCCCTCCAGCATCCTTCTCTGTGGATAGGCCACACCAAAGGCCAGCTCTCCGAACTCACGTCACCTGTCCATGACTCTGAGCCCTTGCACATGCTGGTCACATGGTCTGGAAGGCTCTTCCCACCTGGAAAATTCCCACTCACCCTTCAAGGCTCAGTGAGGAGTCACCTCCTCCTGGAGGCCTTCCCAGACTCGCCCAGCCCTTTGTACCTCCCCTTTCAGGGTGTTTATATCCTGGGTCACCACTGCCTGACTATGGGTCTGTCTCCCTCACTTAGCTGTGAGCTCCCTGAGGGCAGAGCTCTCCCATCCCCATCTGCAGTCTGAGTGCTCAGCACAGATCCAATCTGGGTGGTGCTCAGGAAGTGTTTGTTGAATGACTGAGTGCCTGGCCCCACCCCCAGCCCTTCTTGCCTCCCTCCAGACCTCACAGGGCATCTCCAGGGAAGAGGTGAGCAGAGGGAGAGATCCAGGCAGCGTTCTAAATGCAGTGACTGAGTGTGGTCTGACTGGAAGGTCCTTTAACATGTTTGGCTCAGTTTCCTCATCTGTAAAATGGGGATAGTTTCCTGCTGCACACGGTCATTGTAAGGAGTCTATGAGCCAAGACTCAAACTGCTTGGCACACGCTCAATAAACATTCGCTTATTGTTGTTCGTGGAGTTCTACAAAGTCGCAAAATTGGAGAACTTAGATCAATTTAACTTCAGAATCATAAAATCTTATTATCATAGCAGATTAACAAGATAATTAAATTACATGAATGAGATGATCCACTTAAACCGCTTAGATCATTTCTGAGTGCAGAGAAAGGCTGCCCTGATTCATCCATTCAGAGGACAATTAAGCGCCTACTACGTGCCAGGTAAAGTTCCAGGCACCAAAGACACATGAGAGAACAAGCCCCTGCCCTCAGCAGGCTCACAGTCTGGTAAGGGAGACAGAAAATGAACCCAAAATAGGGATTTCATATGTCAGGTGGTGACAGTGCCCGGAAGAAAATGAAGAAGGTGTGGGGGGTAGAGAGGCGGGGGGGCACCCCAGGAGGGAGGAACGGCAGGTGCAGAGGTGGAGGGAGGTACACGTGTCAGCTTTACCATCTCAGCATCGTGATCCAGCTCCCCAAGCCGGCTCTCCCCTCCTCCCTCCCCCTCCAGTTCGCCTGATGGCCCCTGACTCCCTCCAAGTCACCCAGGAGGGGAGCCACACATGCAACATAACCTGGACCGTCCCCCAGTCCTCCCACTACATTGAAAGATACCTGGAGTTTGAGGCCCGGACAAGGTCCCTGGACCACAGTTGGGAGGTGAGTACAGAGTCCAGCCCAACCTGCCCTGATTCCTACACTGCTCACCCTGTCCCTCCTCCATCTCCGCAAAAGCGTGACAGCCCCAGGCAGCCCTGCCGCTTCTCTGCACGGCCTGCTCCCGCCTCTCCCTCCCTCCCTCCCTCCCTCCCTCCCTGTGACCCTGACAACCCAGGGCTCCAGCGGGTGGCAGATTCCAGGCTGCACTAGGGAGGATTTACAAGCCAAGAGGCAGGCGCCTTCCCTCTGTGAGGTGTCAGAGGCCCTGGGACACCACCTCTCCGCTCTTCAAACCCACAGGGCTCTGTGCTCATTCACTCACTCACTCCTTTATTCACTCACTCAGTCACTCAGCAAACATCTCCTGAATGCCTACTATGTGTTGGATGCTGGGGAGAGAGCAGGGGCCAGACTGGCAAGCTTCCCGCTCTCAGGAATGTATGTGTGTGTGGGGGGGAGGGGGAGTGGGGAGGCAGGCAGTCGGCAAACATGGAAACAGGAGACTGTGGAATATTGGTAAAAGTTATCAAGAAAATGACATGCGACAACACTTCTAAGAGGGCCTGGGGCCAGGAGAGGCTGCTCTGAGGTCTGAGGGTCCAGAGGAGCTGACCCTGCAGAGACCTGGGGAGGGTTTTCCAAACAGAGGAAG